CCCCCCCCACAACTTAAATTATGCATACCATAAAAGCTGAGTTGAATTGGAAAAACAAATTTTAAGTACCAGTGTCCTGTGTTGAAAACTAAAATATCATGGAAATTTGGAGCCTCTATCCATGAACTTTCTGGAATGTCAACATCAACTCTGTAACCTTCTTTATATCCAAGAGATTCCAATTCTCCACCGTCGGCATTAGCTGACCACCTGACTCAAACAGAAGTAGGAACAAATAATGTTAGTTGTCAACTGCTACAGCACTACAAAAAGATGAAAGAGGAAATTATAATGCAAACGTGAGAAGTGAGAACCTAGGAAATTATAATGCGAACACCTTTGGAACACAGTTGATTGAGTTGCAACGTTTTTCATTAAAAAAATTTCACGAGTCCAGTAAGTCCTCAAGAATGTTTGGCGCCAAAATCTTGAATCGACCCCCTCAAAAGTAATGAGAAGTACTAAAGAACGAGGGGAAGCTCCCACTTCGGACGGAACTCAATTGTGCGATTCTCATGGGCGACAGAGCATTGGAGAAAAAGGTAATCCCGACTTACCTAATTGTGTATGCTCCCTATAAGGAACCTAAAAAAACCGTTTCCTACTAGAGAAGTGAAGATTTTAATGATATCCTCACAGGATAACAGTAAATTCCAAAGTTCTATCCACAAGAACATTTTGTTCATGAGCAATCCTAAGACCATCCAACCCCTTCAGCTACTCTCAGCCCTTTTCATCTCTCCAATTGTTCTACTCTTTTGATGAACAAATGAGATGCCTAATCCAAGAATGGTAGAAAAAGGATAGACAAAACATTTGGTGTAAATTCGACAGATCAGACAATATCCAAATTTTTAGCGGAGTGAAAGATCATGAAGAAATAGAAGAGTTCGATGGATATAAGAATTGATGGTTAATGATAAATCAAACTAGTCATCATAACACATTACTTACGAAGCATATCGCGCCAGAATATTTGTTCTATGATATGTAATAGTAAGATTGTACTTCAGAAATGAAAAACCACGATCAGCACCAGCAGGACGCCACTTTTTCACTTCACCCGGCACACGTTTCAGAGAACAAAAAAGTGAAACAAACATGTTCCTATTTAAGGAGTCGCCAACAAATCCTGCACTGCAAAACATTCATAAAGTCCATATCCAGCATTATAACAGACATAGACTGATCAAATATATCAGCATGCAATATGTCAAGAATATGGATAAAGATCAAATAATACATAATCAATTAACATGGTCCTAAACTAAGAATAGAAGGTTCTGCATTTGAATTTCTGCCTAATTTTCAAGCTCGCCAATGGAAGTACTAAAAATTTGTATAAATATGTCATAACCCGTCAGCTTCACCTGATATATTCTACTTTCTCCACTCACATCAGAGACCAATTTCATGTTAACTGTGAACTGAAATCATGAAAAGAAATAACTGTCTATTTTACTGAATGAAAAGAGAGTACGGAAATTATAACTAAGCAACGCTCAGGAACTTGATCACGCTTAACCAATGAAGTTCAAACTTCTTTTTGTACCCCCAGAAATCTTTACAAGCAAGGCAATTTAAGTATTCAACAGTTGAGCACAAACACACAGCATGACGCGGAAAAAAAATTGCAGCAAGGATTAAAAGGGAGACCAAGCGAGTACCGATGTTAGTATTTCTGAACTTCTCAAGGAAGGAAACCGGATCAAAATGCGGAAGATCACATTGCTTCGGCTTCCAATGCCAATTGATGATTTGGAGAGCATTGGACTTGTTCGCCGCATAGCAGTTCCAGCCTTTGAAAATCTCTTTGCAGGTGTGGTCGTACCGGGAGGTTCTCAAATTCGGATCGTAATTCCAACTTCCATCGGAATAATCGCACGAGCCGTCCCTAGCCGCCTTCGATCTCCCGGATCTATCGCCATTGTTGAATTGGATGCTCTGATGCGGTTGTAGAGGGGCCGAGGTTTTACGGAAAGCTGAGAGAGCGAGAAGAACGGAAAGGAAGCAGATAAGAGAGAGTAGGGGGAAAAGAGGAACTTGCTTCGCTTGGTAATGACGATGGTGGTTCTCCCTCACCGCCATGGCCGGAGCCGGAGATTCCAGCTCTAAACGCTCATTCTCATTCGCTAATATATATTATCTTTTTTTTTTTTAATAAACTTTTCTTCAAAATTATGATGCTGTTTAGTAAAATTACAAGTTTAATTTTTCAAGTTAAGAGCTCTTGTCTCTTTCGTTGTTTAATTTTTTAAATTATAAATTTTAAAAGATTTACTTAATATAAAATTAAAAATTTAGAGTGATGAAATATGTTTGAAATTTATATTTAATAAATATTTTTTTTTAAATGCATTTGTAAAAAAATGCACAAAATTTAAAACTCATTAATTTATTGAACACACAGCACAAAAAGTTGGAAATTAAAATAATTTTTTACTAAATTAATCTTTTTACAGATGTGCGGAGACAAAAAAAAAACAAAAATATTAATATTTTATTTCAAAAATATTTTTAAATTTTTAACATGGTTTCGAAAATATTTTTGAATTTAAAATTTCATTAATTACCCTTCCAATTTAAAAAATATAATAAAAAATATTCACTATTATTTAAAAAATACACATGAAAATTAAAAAAAAAAAAAATTATCAACACCTCATAGATTATCTTTAAACTTTTTAATATTGCATCTCATAGATTATCTCCAAAATTTTTATAAAAAATATTCACTATTATTTAAAAAATACACATGAAAATAAAAAAAAAAAAAAGATTATCAACACCTCATAGATTATCTTTAAACTTTTTAATATTGCATCTCATAGGTTATCTCCAAAATTTTTAATATTGCACCTCATAGATTATCTCCAAACTTTTTAATATTTCACTTCATAGATTATCTCCAAACTTTTTAACGTTACTTTTGAAAGTTCACAAATATATCTAAACATTAATTATCTCCAAACTTTTTAATATTGCATCTCATAGATTATCTCCAAACTTTTTAATGTTACTTTTGAAAGTTCACAAATATATATAAACACATGATATCGTCGGTAAGTACATTTCTCATTTTTTTAATTTAAAAATGTATTTTTTTATAAGTTTTAGAAAAAAAAACGTTAAAGTATTAATGAATCTTTTGAAAGTATATTTAAAACACTTATGAAAGTTAGTTATTTTTCTTAATAAAATATTAACGATTTTCATCTAAAATTAACAATATATTATTAGTATTAGTGAATTTGAAAGTATATTTGAAACATTTATGAAAGTAAGAAAGGCAGTTATTTTTCTTTAACAGTTTTCATCTAAAATTAACATAAATATATTTTTGAATTTTATTTGAGAGAGTGAACACAGCCATAACTCTCTCTTAATTTGGTAGATCGCATTTGTATAAGCATTTGAGAATGTTGTTGGGAGTATTCTTTTTAAACAACACCTAGCGGAAGGAAAAAGAAAATTTTCTTATTGTTCAAGTCTATCTTAAGTAATATTTTGTTGATACTTTATCGATCTTATGCTTTCGGCTGTGCAACAATTCATTTCGAAGTATATGAAAGCATTTTTATCGTGGCATCAGTGACGATAATGTTCATACAAAAACCTTAAAATCCTGCTATTACCGAAAAAGATTCCACGCCAAGTCTCTGTACAGAGCAAAAACAGAGAAAAGAAAAATGATTCTTATTCACATCCATATTTCCACTAGAAAAAATTGAAATATGGATACCATTTGGTAAGAATTCATATTTACAAAGGGGAAAAAATGAACGGAACAGAAGACCCAAAAACAATGGAGCAAACTCATGCCAACAGTTTCGACTGATTACTTACTTATATCAAACGAAAGGTCTGATATTTGTCAGACTAAACCTAAAAAGACTTGGAAATAAATTTACTAATCTAAAATGAATGAGTGACTATGATAATTAAATTTGAAGCATGGTTTCAATTGGCTAAAGAATTGGACCAAAAAAGAAAGAAAAAATCAATAGTTTTAATGGAATGGTTCTGACTTGAGAAGAAAGATTTGGCAGACTGGTTCGAATGAGATGTCTTTTAACATATTGTTAAGCCTCTCTTTAGCAGCAGCATCTTCTTCAAACTTCCTTTGAGCTAAATACATTTTCCACCAAGAAGGACTTCGGAGTTTGGCCTGCGAAATTCACAAACAAATTGAAGCCAAATGATCATTGCATTAGTAGGGAAAATTCAACTACATGTGACACTTAGAGGAAGTTTCGAGTATTGATTATCGAGAATGAAACACATGTTGAGGATTGTTGGGAGGTAATCCCACGTTGGCAAAGTTAGGGAATGATGATGGGTTTATAAGTAAAGAATATATCTCCATTCGTACGACGCTTTTTGGGGAAGCTCAATGCAAAGTCACGAGAGCTTATGCTTAAAGTGGATAATATCATATCATTGGAGAGTCGTTATTCCTAACAAAATGTTGTCATGACATGAACCGAGTTGAAAATTCAAATCATAAACCATTAACTACGTAGTAGATCTTCTAGAATTTGTTTGCTGTTTCTTGACCATTACATTTTATTTCAGAACATGCATTGTGAGTGAACAAGATGTGACAAATCAGTGATAGAATGACATCGAATCGTCACACCCTCGCAGTGTATGTTCATTCGACATTTAAAACTTGAGTGTTTCAAACTAAACTGTCCAACAATCAAAGAGGATTAGACTTAAAGTTCCATAATTCTAACCTGGCGGTTGTATCTGGATCTGTTGAATTTCGAAATTGGAAAATCTGGATGACCTGCATAGGATAGAAAATGAGACGAATGAGAAGTATAGCAGCATAACATTGAAGACCCAGGACATGCAGTTTGAAACTAAAAAAACATTAGAAATAATGATATAACCGACTCTGAGTTCAAGCATTTTTAATCTCTAGAAAACAAAACTGCAACGAAGGATTTACCTGCAAATATGACAATACCATCTCTAGATACCCTCATAAACTCGGGAATTGTTTCGTTAAGGTATCTTGAAGACATATATTCCAACGTATCTGAAACTATAACATGAGAAAATGATTTCTCCCGATAAGGCAGCGGAAATTTCATATCAGAAACATGGACAATTTCTCTCTCAATGAGATCCCAGCAGCACGAATCAGCACCTTCGGTGTCATATGGATCCATACCCCAATCTACATAATCATCCTTGTCTTCGAGCAATTCGGGCATCACTGAACCAGTATCAGGGCCAACATATAACACTTTGTTCATGTTATAGTCATATACTTCCTTTAGCAATGTTATTGTTGTTTGAACTTCCGAAGTGCAAAATGTATCACCTGCCATTATGATCTAGCAATATTAAATACCTGAGAGATTCCTTGTCAAAGAACATGGGTGATCGTTTTTGTACGTGTTGTATACGCTGGCAGATTCATGAATATATTCAATCGTTTCCTTCAAAAACTTCAGTTATAAATTGTTTTCCACTCATGAGGTTCTTTTCTTCTGTACTTTTAGTTCTTTCTAAATTAATAAAAAGAAATTTATAAATGAGAATGATCGAGAACACTAGCAGTACATTGGTGTACATGGACCTTTATGGTAATTCTCAAGTGGCCTAATCTAATTTCCAAATCCATGAAGAAAATTCAGCTGTCTAACTTTAGCAAGCTCAAGGTTCCAAATGTTCAAACAAATCACGGAATACCAAATAAGCAATTGTATTACCTACAAACAATGATAATCTAGTATTCTTTTTCTACCATGGGCCGAGCTATAGATTGTTGAGAGACCAACTGGGAGTAGAGGAGTTAGTCCAAATCTCAGTGATATATGAAACGAAGGCAATGTTATTTATTCTGATATGACCTACGCAAAGTGCTCCTTGTCCATATAGAACTTAAAACAAAGTCATCATTAACAAATTGATCAATTATGAGGAATTCCAGACGAATTACAAAATCTATACCACTAATATGGAACAGGAATTTTGGTTCAAGACGGTCAAAATCCATTTTTTCAATTTTAACCAAGCTTGATTGATAACTGAATTATATTCTCAGTGAAGCAATGCTGCAATGTTATTGTACTAATTATTAAAAGTCGTTGTAGTGACTTCGTAAAGATAAGACAGAATACCTTCAACGTCATTCTCAACATCTGTGATACTTCCCTGCCCACCTACCATGTGAAGATAAAGAATAAGAAGAAATTAGATGCGCATATTCAGATTAAGAATAGAAAATATTATATAACAGTGAAGACAACTTCAAATTAGAAGTTCAAAACAAAAAAAAAATTGAGAAGAAAAGAACTTGGATATCAAACAAAAAGGAAAACAAATTTGAGAAGAAAAGAATTTGGATATCAAACAAAAAAGATAAAAGCCTTGTTTATTTGTTTTTTTTTTTTTCTCGTCTTTGCTAAAGTCTCTTATCTCTATACTTTCGGACTTGCCCTATTTTGGTCCCAAATACCTTTTTTAAAAAAAGAGAACTATTTTGTCCCTTGTTAATTTGTCTCCATGGCTACCTCGGCTAACTTATGTGGCTTCAATTCATGTCTATGTCAGCAAGTTAAATTCATTTGATAAACAATTTTTGTGAATGTAACAATGAGGAGCAAAATTTCTATATTTTGAAAGATAAAAAACAAAAATATGCATTTAAAAGTTTGAAATCTAAAACGATGTTGCTTCATCGTGTAGGCATCCAGCCAACTTAATTAACTTAGCTACTGTCCCTCCGAGTTTAGTAACAAATACGAACCTGATGCATGATGGAGATATCCTATAAAAACGATTGCCTGAAAATTACAGAAAACATGCAAGTAAGATTTGCGACATGAATTCGATATTTTCCAGAATTAAACAAAAAAAAGAAATCACAATTCAATAAATATATGTTTTGATAACGTGATTCAATTACAGTAATTGAAATGGGAACATTATGTTTGCATTGAAAGAAAGGGGAAGGGAAGAGGTATAATCGTAAAAAGAAGTACCATCGTCAGAAGACATAGGAATGATAAAATTGACAGTAGTGAATTTATGTATTGATTAGCGCCGCGAGCAGCATAGCGATTTACTCGATTTTGCCTCATTAACATCATAGTCATTGGCATAGAAACTTCAAAGCCGCTCATGACTGAGTTAGAACCCTGTGTGAAATAGTTTCCAGTATCAAAATAACTTGAATTTCCGTAGGATCATCACTTCAAAGCTAATGAGAACAATATTCTTCACTGATTCATATATCATATGCACCTCCTACTCCTCTACTCTATTTATTTCACACAATTCAAATAAGCTGGAGTGATATACTGATCCTACCACACCAATTAAATGCGATGTATATATCAATTTACGATGATACAATCAAAGGAACAACAAATTTTTAGAGTCATTAGCTTAAAAACAAAAGAAAAACAGCACAGTGGATACTGAAATTCATCACATTGAGTCGTGGCCGAGAAAATTAACCACATTCCAAATTCAAAATCTGCCATAATTAAATACGAAAGCGATCACACTAAATTTCGAGCAAATAGAGCACAATCGCAACAATGCATCCACTGTTCGCTATTATAACCAGAACACATCCACTACCAATCACTACCAACTCTAAACACACAAATGAATAATTTGGAAGCAAAAGAATAGTGATTCGAGTTCATGAAATCCTAGAAAGTAAAGAAACAGTAAACAATCGAAACGAAAGAATTGCAGAATTACGAGGAAGCGGATAGCGTGTTACCTGAAGCGAAGAAAACTGCACAACTTCGGGACTCGCTTCCCGATTAGAACACGCTTCGAATCTTTGGAGGACTGATTGAACTTTTTGGCTCTCGAAGAAACAGAGCGCTGTTGAGAGAGAGGAGTAGAGGTTAGTCAAATAAATGGGCTCCTTTTATACCTTACCCTTCCGTGCGCTGGTACCGAAAAAAAATAACAAATAAAAATTTAAAATAATTTAGCAAAAAAAATATTCGCTGCTTAAGTTAAACTAAACCTTTGGTTTAAATCATAAAATTGTTAATGAGATTTATTTAAGTATATATTTTTTTTATTTAAATGCTTACAAATATAACAATTTAATACGTGAATTATAGAAAAAAATAGACAATAAATTTAAAAATAGTGTATCATGTATCTAGATTTCGAATAAGCAAAAATAATAATAATAATAATAAATAAATGGTAAATTTTAAAAAATAAATCTCCATTGAATTTTATTTAATTTAATATTTTACCAATACTAATTTATCTATTTAATATCTGAAGTTTTTATTTAATTAAAAATTTCTTTAATGAAAATTATGTCCGGTAAATTTTAAAACAATATTATGACTGATCTCAGTGCTATAAAAAAAACGGAGTCGGGTCGCCGGACTTGCTGAACATTATACCCTATAAAGAGTAGGAGTTTTATTTTTTAATTATGATGTGTGCTATAAGATAATCGAAATTACTTTTTGTGAGACATTGTGATTTGCTTCTTCGTGCAATTTCTAATTTGGGTTTCAAGTGATATGCAGATCCGAGCTAGAGCTAATGAAAAAGTAATATTTGACAAATATAAAGGGTTCGTTTGGAATGACTTTTCAAGTGCTAAAAAACGCTAAAACACTTACGAAGTCATTTCAAATGAGTTTAACGGTCAATGTCGAAGAATTCCAAAATCCAACCAGACACTTCGACTAAAGTCTATCAATATCAACATTTTATGACCTTTAAGGACACGAGATTCAAGAAATTAGAGAGGAGGATACTTTTTTATAAAGATTAAAGACGTTTAATTTAAGATTTAATGTGTATTTTTTTTTAATAAAGTGAGTTTATTTTTTAAAATTTTAAAGGTATTACTAAAATATTTTAAAGTTAATAAAGATATTTTTGAAAAAAAAAAAAGTAAGTATTGTAATTTTTTTAAAATTTATTTGAAAGTTTATGGGTTTGTTTGAATTTTTTTTTTTTGAAGTTTATAATGGAAAATTTTGGGAGTTGTAGGTAATTTTTTAAACCAATTAAAAATGAGGTATTTTTATTAATTAGTTTTATTTTTTTTTTATAACCAAAATTTAGGGTTTCAGTTGTTTAAAAAAACTGGCCACTTCCAGCCGTGGAAGAGGACATCATCTCACTGAATACGTTTGGTACTGGAAAAAATGGCGGCTACACACAGCTTATCCTCTGCTGCACTCTCATCGTCTTCCTCTTCCTTTTTCTCGCACTCCAGTTTCAATGCCAAGTACTTTCTCTGTCACTTCATTTTCGTTTTGAGTGGTTTTTCGTTGGAACTGGAACTTCTGCATGTCTCGTTTTGTCGCATAAGAATCATCGAAATTAACTAGTTTATTCTCCAGGAATCCGAAGGTATCATTTCCAGGAACAAGGTTCCGCGTCAAGTGTGTCGCAACGTCTCAAGATTCTATGACAGGTATTGCGGAAATTACAGATTGTGTTTGAAGATATAGAATATGAATCTTCAATTTAGAACTTCTCGTACATTATCGGTTGATGAAAGTAATGATATCCATACTTCGATGATATCTGCAAGAATGAGAACTTACTGCTTCTTCATCTTCTTATTGGCGTTCTTTTGTTGTTTTTTTTTTGTTTTTGTTTTTTGTTCTTAAGCCTACAAAACATCGGTCCCTCGAAATGCGAACATGGCCAAACTTCAAGCTGGATACCTTTTTCCCGAGGTGTGTAGTGTATTTTGCTCAAGGTCTTAGTTCATGCTATTGATGAATTTCCATGCTTGAGCTTTTTAGTTTTATTTTCATCTTGAAATTTCGATATCATCGCTTTGTATTAACTTTAGCGGTAATATTGTATGTGTATATATTATAATAGATTGCAAGGAGAAGGAATGCGCACTTGCAGAAGTATCCTGATGCGAAAGTCATTAGCCTTGGAATTGGTGACACTACTGAGCCTATTCCTGAGGTTATTACATCGGCCATGGCAAAGGTATAAATAAATTACTGCTTCTGGTTCTTGTAACTCGCAAATCATAACAAGGTTGTCGGGATTCAGCTTACTAGGGTAGTGTTACTGCCATCTCCTTCCCAGTGAAATTAGTCCTTTTTTCTTACGTATTTGCATGTAACTTTTTGTCTCATTCAATTGAATTTACTACGAGTTTCAGACACTCCTTATAGAAGTTTAGTTTGTATGAAATAAAACTATTCTATGGTGTCCAATTCACCCACTACATTTTTCTTCCAACTGTTGCACTTAATTGGAAGGTTTCCCTGGAGTTGTTTTCATGCCAGAAGATCATAAACCTCATATTACTTGATTTTTTCAGCTAAAAAACTGTTTTTAACTTAGTCATTTATGACGAATCTGTTTCGTTCTTTGGCAGAGATCACATGCATTGTCCACACTAGAGGGTTACAGTGGATATGGGGCTGAGCAGGGCGAAAAGGTATGCAATTCAGTCCCGACAAACTTTGTTACTCCTAGCCTTTTGAAGTGAAGTTGTGCATTTGGCATCTTGACTTTTGAAGTGTAGTTGTGCATTTGGCATCTTGATTGAAGTTTCTGATATTTGGAAAGGGTTCTCTACCGAGTGATCTTCCTAATGGGTGAATTTTGTGTAGAAATAGTGAGAAGCCTAGCCACTCTTTTGTACACTGTAACACCCCTAGCATAAGGTATTACTGTACTTTTGCTTCAAATTCATGGGATTGCATCTTTTAGTTTGGCATGTTGTAGAACCAACTTTTATCAGTAGTGGACTTCATCCAACAAAACCTTGGGGGCCATACTCTTACCAGAAGAGCTAAGGTCTTGTGACGAAGTGCTATTTTGGTCTTTAGAACCCATGGAAGGAAACATAATAGGAGAGTGTTATTCGATTCTTATAAGACTCGGGAGAGATTTTCGATTTAGATTCTTACAGTACTTTAACGGGTGGTCAGTTGCTTAAAAATTGCTACAACCACTCTCCCCTTTTCGTTTGTATCAATTGGAGCACACATTTTTTTTTTTTTTTTTGCAAGTCTGCCTTTGGGCTTTGGCGCATTTTTGGGTAGGTTGTACTTTTTCATGTTCCTCTTAATTTGAACTTATCCGTTTCTATTTAGAATAAAAGTTTAGCATGATCAAATATGATAGACATATTTTATATTGTGAAAGGTTCCCTCAACATTTTGCCGGCACCTTCAACAGTTTTACCACTTGGTTTTGGCGTACATCCGACAACAGTTTTACTACTTCGTTTTGGCGTACGTCCGACAACAGTTTTCTCGATTTGATATGCCTCTTCCGTCAAGCATGTGCCTTCCGGCAATGATTTTTTTAAAATTTTTTTGCTACCTAGCTTGTATAGTTTCAAATTAATATGCTGTCAGTAACTGGTTTACACTTTGCGAAGTATAGTAGCTGCCTTATTGTGTTAATAAGTGTTTTCCATCATTTTTGCATTGACCTGATGACTTGACTTCTTTTAGGTCATTTCTTTACAAGATTGGTAGTTCTAATTTAGATGCTGATTTGTACAGCCAGTGAGAGCTTTAATTGGCAAAACATTTTATAGCGGCCTTGGCATAGAAGAAGATGATATCTTTGTTTCTGATGGCGCAAAATGTGACATAACACGTCTTCAGGTATGGTTTGTTTTAGTTTTGAAAAAAATTCATCTGTTAAATCTATCTATTTTCGATGTATTTGTTTGTTTTCCCTTTAATGATGATCATCAAACTTAGCTAAAATGTAAGATAGCATGGGTAATCATCTGTGTCGTAACTTGGCTAATCATCTATGTGTCTGCTATCTTGTTACTATCTAACTTCTCTTCCCACTTTTGGCAGCTTGTTTTTGGCTCCAATGTGTCAATGGCAGTGCAAGATCCATCATACCCGGTGATTGCTCTTCTCATTATCGAACTTTTAGATATTTAACTGGTGCACTTATAACATTTTGCCAATCCACTTCTATATGAGGCATTTACTTAGATGATCATTTGAAAAGTATTGAGCTCTTCTTTTGTGCAATCATTTAGCTGCATCTCATTTTTTCTCTTCTGCAAGACGTATTTGCATTTGCACCATTAGAAAACTTCACTTGTAGGTTTAGTCGCATTAGCTAACGGATAAGTTCACTACAGCTCAAGCTATAAATTATTTCATAATTTAGAAAATATATTTGAAGTAATTTTTGTTACTCCTTTCTCTCACTTTTTGGTTTGTGTTTTCTAGATAGTTATGTAGTGTAACATTCTTATGGGGGGGGGGGG